ATGCCCGCGAGACCCTTGTGGACCCTTCCCGGATGAATAGTTTGATCCCTGAACTAAATTTCAGAGGTTAATCTTTTCCCCTTGTCATCTCGATCTCCTTGTTTTCCGAGACAGCGGTGACAAACGCTGTCGTCGAAAAGGGACTCTCAATGATTATATCTCCTTGATTTGTGTGATATAGAGCTCAAATAAATGCCATACGGATTACCTTCGCAACATGGTATGTACTCTTTATTAGTATGCCTTTTTTATTCCGGCACGCGACGTCACTCTCGAGCTATAGCAGTTCGTGGGAGCTACGCGATGACCGTCCAACCCTTCTTTGCCGAGTGTCATGTCAGTATCGAGTTGTAATCGTAAAAGATCGGTCCAGAAACGCTTACCGAAACGCGGTCCAACCGAGCGAATCCAGCACTTCGATCAAACGCGCGTGTCCGCTCCGAGTGTGAACAGGTATTTGCGTGGCTCTTGCTGACACTCTCGTAGTTCAAACATTTCTTTCTTAACGTCGGCTCGCAGCTCGCGACTCGCAGCAACTAATACCGGCCGTGCCAGAAGCATGCTCGGTTCGTGTCGTGCAAACAGCCGCAACGAGAACGAGCTCACTGTGGCCAGCTACGCCTTGGCTTTCTCCGCAAAGGCTTTGCAAACGCGTTCAGGCCTAGGCTAATTCTGCCGGCACGCCGTATTGCCGCAGTACGGCGCTGCTCCTATGCCATAAGGGATGTCACGAGAACTTTCCCACCATCCACCAGATGTGAATTTGAAATCGTTTATTTAGGTTTAAAATTAGTTCTGTGTTTTACAGCGCGATATTGATATTTCTGAGGTGGTGCCTGTCCCTAGCCCCTATTTATGCAGAAAGATCGGCGCTAAAATTTTGTTTCCGTACCCCTTTAAGTGGTCTATGGTCCAGCAGTGGCAGCGTTCTTCTCATGCCTTCTCGTTGGGTGCTGAAATTCACCCATGCACACAAAAGATGCTAATAGCAAAGCTAAATAATTGGACTAATTAATTATTGGACTAATTATATCCACAAACCAATCCGACCATGAACTAACACTTTTTTATTTTTTATATGCGGCGCTAACTTTTCCCGCCCACATTCTTATGGCGTCAGGAACGAAGACGAGGCAGCATAGGAAGGGTGTCCTTGAAACGACAATAATAATAATTATTTAAACTTGCAGGACCTCCGCTGGAAACTCTGAGGCACGGTGGAGTAGTCGTCGTGATAAAAAATCTAAAGAAACAAAATAAAAAGCCTGGAACAAGAATAATCACTGACCGTTGGGCTGGCTATCGCAAGCTTGCAGACGACGCTCACTTCACGCACCTCACCGTCAACCACAAGCTGCACTTTGTCGACCTGAACACTGTTGCGGGCACCAATACGGTGGACGGCACCCGGGCCCACGTCAAAAACTCTCTTCCATCTGGACGTCGCGAGAGCCACCATTTCACTGGTCGCCTTGCAAAGTTCATGTTTTGGAGGAGAGAGAAGGCGCGCGGAAACACTGATAGATTCTAATCGTTGTTCGCGGCGGCCGCCAAGATTTACAGCCCCGACGCAGACAGGGACCTTCCCTAGAGTGCGGAGGACGAGGAGTCTGACGGCCCCGATGACTTCGAGTGATCCGCTGCGCCGAGCCCGTCGCCCGCCTGCGTGCATAAAGACGACTTATGCGCCAACCGCTTGTCAGGTGCTGGTTGCGTCACGTATAGGTTCTCGTAGCGGCCTAAACGGCCCTTTTCAGGGCCCCCATATTTAGCAAACGGAGATGTTTTCTGAATGCGGTAACCCGTGTCTCTGCAAAAAGTTCCCAGGAAAGACCAAGCAAAGGTATGTGGTCCCCAACTTGGATATCGCGTGTTATGATTCAAATAAAAATTGTTCTTGCGTATTTCGCGCCTCTGATCTCAATAAACGCCGCCGTTAGAGTCGTCCTGCGGTGCTGTCACTTGCTCAATCGCCGTCGGTGTGTCTCAGCTTCGTCGTCTTTGCCAGCGGCGTACCGGCGAAGGCGGTTGATCTGACACACCGCGTTCGGCTTGGGCTATAGACAATTGCAAGCATGGCGCCACAAGTGGTGCCCCATGCGTGCAAGCGCGTGCAAGGCGCGGGTGAACGTAGCTTTGGCAAGCTCGTAATCGCACGGGCGTGCCTGCTCGAGCAGAGACATGGCGGCGGCCAGTCGCCCAGCTTGCAATCGTCTATACTCCGTTTCACCTTATGTTGTACCGCAGACAAGGCTAGATGCGCGAGCTCATAGCGTTGGGAGTTACTCTTAACGCACGAGAGCTTGTGCCGCCTTGATGTGCCCTAGAGCATGGAGCTCGCGCTTGTAGCCTTTTCTGCGGTAGATCATAAGGTGAAACAGAGTATTCGCAACTCCAACTAACTATAGGTGGCGCCACTCATTTTCCAAGATGGCGGTTATAGTGAGGGTCAGAGATGCGTGCCGCTGTTGAGCCTGTGTAGTGTGCTGGCTTCACTGAGCGGCACAAATTATTTCCGGTAATACGAGGAAGCTATGAGCGCAGGTCATCTCTTTACTCTGAAAAAAAGAACGGTGTTTAGCGCAATATGTACGCAAGGATGCGCGTTTTAATTCTGGGGCTAAACCGAAACTAACCTCTATTTTGGATTTGATTTCTCGATATAGGTCTTCATTTCGGATTCTTTTATAACTCAAGATGTGTCTCACATAGTAAATATTTAGTTAGAGAAGTTGATCGCAGAAACGTTTTTTCTTGACGCACATGTTCGATCCAGGCTGATATTTGTAGTTGTAGTTGTTGAAAAAATCAGTGATAATATTTGTGCGTTCTCGCTGCCTTTTCTCGCTCAGGTAATTATGGGAAATAATGAACTGCGGGCCTTTTAATGGGTTTTGAGGTATTTAGATGATTAAATGGTTTAACATTATTCCCACCACAAGAATTAAGGGAATAAATCCAATTTTTACGATATGTCCACAAAACGTATAAATTAATAAACGTTTGTTCTCATTGCAACAACCCGAAAACGGAATCCGAATCAGACAAATGAGTTGTGTGTGTGTGCTTTTATAGCAACGGCGTGACGCATATGACTTTATAATACATCCGGTGTTTGACTGTTTGTCCATCTTGAAAACGATGTCCGATTTTTTCATATGCAAAAAGAAAAGAAAATTAGACCTTTCTGGAAACACTATTATGGTTAAATGGCTTATTTTCATGATCTTGGCGTTAATTGAGGGCTGCCGCGATTTGTATTAATAATGATAAACTAATTCAGATATTTCAATACGTACTTTTCCAAGCTCTAATATAGTTTGTTGTTTACAATATAATTTCACACGCGCGAACAAATATGAGAATCAAAAGTGTGCCAATTATAATCACTGTTGCCAATTGCAGAATGTTTAATTACCAAGTAATAAAATCAAAATAGTCTAAAATCAATAACATTCTAGCTAATGTGAGCAATCCATCTAAAATTACATTAATTGTGGGTAAACTATATTTTGCTATAACTTTGACAATTGACTTTTGACTATTGGCCAAACATCCGAAGTCGCCGCCAATATCCTTCCAGACCAAATAAACCCCCCCCCCCTCCCCCCCCCAAAAAAAAAAAAAATTATTAGTTTTTTTTATAACATTTATTTCCTTTCATTTTTACGCTCCGTCGTTTTGCCAGTCTCAGCCTAGTCAGTTTTAGTATTGCGTATACGAGCGAACGCAATCGCCGTGTGTTTGACTAATGGCGAATTCCACTGGGCGTTTTGGAGCGCGCCGGGATCAGTTGACCAGATCCGGATTGGAGCACAAGATCCGAACGGGGTCGCGCCGCCTACGGATCCTCAGTGGAACATGACCACTGCTCCGGGATCGGCGGATGCCTTCCCGTCATTCAACTGCCCGGGAATCCCCTTTTCGCGGCCGCCGCGGTCGTTTCGAAGACGTTTTCGCTACGCGGCGCTAACACGTGTTCGACGCACGAGTGGCAGGAATGGCTCAGGCGCTTCTAGCAACGATTGCCGGAATGCCCGTAGCGCGGCAAATACCTCCTTTTCTCCTTCCTGGAAAACGAACCGGCTGTCGAGCCAATGGGTAAGCAAGCGGCCATTACGAATTCTTCTGATGTCGAGACAATCTAGGAGCCAAGCCCGCGACGTGCTTCTTCTTCTTCTGAGGCGAGATGGGCGAAATCACAGTAGGCGAAATCAGGCGAGATGCCCCACGAGAAAGGAAGTCACGTGTGTGCGCCGAAGGCTCCGAAATCGTTGGAGCGACTTTTCTCGTGGCGAATTCCACGGGTCGTTTTGGAGCGCGCCGGGATCGATTTTTCCGGAGCGAGCCTATTTCACGGGGCGATCGGGATCGAGACGAACTTATTCCACTGGTCGTTTTGGATTAGCTCCCGCTCCAGATCTCGATCTGGATCCGAGAAAAGTCGCTCCCCCGATTTTGGCGGATTCAACCGGAAGCCAGCCGGGTCAGCCCTCGGCGCACACACGTGACTTCCTTTCTCGCGGGCATCTCGCCTGATCTCGCCTCAGAAGAAATGGTAATGGCCGCTTGCTTACCCCTTGGCTCGACAGCCGGTTCGTTTTCCAGGAAGGAGAAGAGAAGAGAAGGGTTTTGCCGCGCTACGGGCATTCCAGCAATCTTTGCTAGACACTCCTGAGCCGCTAGACACTCCTGAGTCGCTCACCTATTTTCACAACTTACACTTTGAAGTCGTTATGGCACTTAGCTGCCGCAGTTAGTATGTGAGCTTCGATTACAGTCCTCGCACCTTTTCGACTCGCTTATCGTGACTGTGCGACTCAAGCTACGCAATCCTTGTTCTTGATTTGCGGAGCGGTGCTCAGAGGCTTTAAGCCAAAGTGTTTTTCGGGTTTTACACGATTTTGGTTCTGTTTTGTAAAGTAGCTGTAAGAGTCCGCGCTCTTTCATGCACAGTTGAGCGTATACTCTTGCTTTAACGATATATTCAAACAGACATCATGAATACTGAACAACGGCAGATAACGGTCGTTCAGTCCGCGGCGTTGCCACCGCCACCGCCGTTTCTCGCAGTTCCGGGACCGCCACCACTGGCCTGGCCTGCATGGAAAGAGACATTCATGTCATTCCTAGGTGCGGCGGGCCTCGAGGGTGTTGACCCGAAGAGAAAAAAACAGATTCTTTTTTCGTTGTTGGGCGTTGAAGGGCAACGAATAGTGTCCGCATTTGGATTTACTAACCTTCCACACTCGGAACTTCTTGACGAGTTCGAGACCTTTTTATCGGCCGTGGAGAGCCATTTTGTTTTTTCCGGATCTCTAGCACTCGAGCGTAAGAAGCTCCGTCTTCGCGTTCAGCAGCCGGGAGAGAGTGTCGCGGAATTTTTAGCGGCGTTACGCCATCAGCACGCGCTTTGCGCGTTTGAAGACGGGTCCGAGAACACGCGACTTTGTGATCTTTTTCTTGATAGTTTGATCTCGCGCCGTGTTCAGGATCGCATTCTTAGAGACTGCGTAGGTCGCCAGGTACCGACGCTTGAGCGCGCGATACAGCTCGCGCTGCAGTTTGAGCAGTTGGCACGCACAGCAGAGCAGTACCATCAGCCACGTCAGGGGGAGACCGTCGCCAGCTGTTCCACTGCACCCGTGCAGTATGTTGCTGGGCCCGAGACCGAACGAGTACAAGCGGCTGCTCGTCATAACGACCAATCTCCAGCACTCTTCTCGGGAGACGACTGTTTCGGTGAACATGGGGCAAGGTTCCCATCGTGGCCATGTGACCCCACCAGACTTGCTCCGAGGTCTCAACGGGGGCGTCCTGGGACAGCCCATGCTCCACGCCCGCCGGCGCGACAGAGTAACATTCCACATCGAGACCCGCCTCCTGCGAGAACGGGGCCGCAACAGGACAACTACTCATGTTGGTTTTGTGGCCGAAGGAATCACGCCAGGGAGAACTGCCCTGGATAGCTAGGTTCGACATTGTACATGTTCCTTTTTTTAGTACACGGAAGTGACGTCATCACGTCTGATTGGTTGGAAGCAAAAGTGACTTAATTTCCCTAGAAAAATGTGGGCGGAGTCGGCAAAACTGGGCGGAGTCGGCTACCGGACGTGACAACAAAATGACGTTTCGTTTTGTACCGAGTACGTTTCAAAAAGGTACTTGCTCGGAACTAGGTGTCATTGGCAGCATGTTTTCGGCGGCGAGGCGTCGCCGTCTCGTCAATTCGTCTTTTTCTTTAATAGAGCTTTTTTTTCGCGAGAAAGGCTGTATCGGGAACACCGCGATGCATTCGAGCTCCCGGAGGAGATCTTTTGGAAGCAATACCGCCTGCCCAAGATCGTGGTGCGGTGGTTGTGCGACGAACTTCGCGAGGAACCGGAGGTGGGGAGAGTGCGTACCTCGTGGACGGTCATGACTGTGGAGCTTCAAGTGTTGTGTGCACTGCGCTTCTACGGCACGGGGAGCTTCCAAGGCATGGTGGCGAGCGACGAACACGTAGCGCGGGACCAAAAGACAGTCAGCGTTGCGGTTCGCGCCGTGTCCGTCGCTATCGTGCGTCGTCTCGGGGTCCAGCGTGGCTGGATCCACTTCCCCGAGACGCCGAGCGAAAGGTTCGACGCGGAGAAGGGCTTCAGGCTGTTCGGCAGGATACCCGGCGTCATCAGTTGCGTGGACGGGACCATGGTCTCCATCGTCGGCCCGTCCAAGAACGACCCCACCGTCACGAAGGCGGCGTACTGGTGCCGCAAGTACTTCTACGCCCTCAACGTGATGGTGGTAAGTACACTCATGTTACGTTGTCAAAACGCGCCCCAAATTTCTAGAAAAAAAAAAACGTATTGCCGATACGGTTTAAGTATGCCGTTTTATGACTGCGGGCTGTGGGGTCTCACGACTGCGCGAGCGTGTGCTCTACGTAGCATGTGAGCCGTGAGACGCTTCTTCCAAAAATAATACTTGTCTGTTAAAACGTGCAAGCTTCCGTAAAAAAAAAAAAAAAAAAAAAAAAAACATTATTTTTGTTTTAAGGTAGTTAGTTGTACCTTGCATCAAGGAAGGGGTGTTGACTTGCATGTGTCAGACAAAATAACTTAAAAGGTTCTGAAATTGCGACTGCTTTGTGAACCATAAGTACAATCTACTACTTGTGTATTCAGGTAATTACATGTCAATATCTCTCTCACTTTCAGGTGTGTGACGCCGACTGCCGGATAATGCGCATCGACCCACGGTATCCCGGGTCGGTGCACGACTCCTTCGTGTGGCAATTTTCCTGGCTCCGAAACCAACTCGAGCAAGGGCAGGTGCCACGCGACGGCCGGTTCCTGCTTGGTGAGCATACTAAATTCATTCCTTACGCACACGGTGGCTCCCACTGGTTGAAAGCCACAGTACCACACATACTGCGCTTGTTGTGAGGCACACAGACACAGTTGCTGGAACTCCTTGAAGTGAGACAACACCCAAAGTTTGGCCATTAATCTCTGTTTATGTCCACATAACTCTCACACTCTGCAGGCTACGAAAGCCACACTACACCAATCTCACGACAGTGATAGACTATGCAAGGCATGCGACCGCAGTGCGAGTCGCTGTCCGGTTCGGCCCACTCACTGTTACTGTCTGCCTGTACCCTCTTGCTGGTTGGTTTTTGCATGAAGTTGGAGCTCTTTCACTGATACCTGGGGGCTCGCCTGGTCGCTTTGACGGTCGTCAGTTTGTACGGAATGGCATCAATTCCTCCTTGGCCACCTGGGGCTTGCTAAATCTGTCCTCGGGTCGTCTCTGTCCCACACACTGGATTCTTTTCCCTGACCCTTCTTCTTCGGTCTGCTTATATAGCTCCTCCTATTAGACCCTTCGTGTCCCAACAGGACCTGACTCCTTTCCAATCTAACCACCCCCTCTCTTTTCCCCATCTTCAACTCCACCGAGGATTAGGAAAGAGGTTCGTCGAACTGGCGCCTTATCCCCTTGCTTGCCAAAGACAAGGCCAGCGTGTTCTGCTCTGCCCGTGCCTAAGGTCACGGCCACACTCCCAAAAGCAACAGAGCTTTTATCTGTCGGATGCAAGGGCCTAATAATGCACTTGCATACAACACAGCACCCCTAAGGAATCGTGCACACATCCCATACAACCCACCAGGAAAACACATAGTTACATGAAATAACAGGGAGTTTGCAGGCAAGCTGGTGCTAATTAATCATAATGTAAACTGATACTGTAGTGCAGAAATATTAACACACTTTTAAGTCCCACTTAAGTTACATTATAATTGACATAGTTGCACACAGCTGTTTTCTTGCCTTTTATTTTAAAAAGTAAAGAATGTAATATGTTCCATCCTCTACATGTGCAGGTGACAGCGGCTACCCCTTGGAGCCTTGGCTCATCACCCCTGTCCCCGGGAACCACGCGACCTCCACCGCTTGCGGCCGGTTTAATAAGGCGCATTCCTCGATCAGGTCTGTTGTGGAGCACTGCATCGGGCTGTTGAAAAACAGATTCCGGTGTCTGCAAAGGCACCGGGCTCTGTATTACCACCCTTCAACAGCCACCGCCATTATTTCGGCATGTGCAGTGCTCCACAACATCTGCCTTGCATCAAGCGAGCCAGAACCGGAGTCAGACTCCGACCCTGAAGAGTCAGAGTTGGAGTCTGAGCCGAGCTCGGACGGTTCTGAGCCGAGCTCGGAGAGGTCAGCGTCGGCTCCCGAGAGGCTGGCTCTTGCCGGTCCTCCGGTCGGCCTTCCGGTCGGCCTCTCGGACAGGGGGAAGGCTTTGAGGCAGCGCCTTGTCGCCCGGTTCGGAACCCGCCGCAGACGTGCCCGTGCGGAGCGCCACACGTAAGGGGTCCGCCGCCACGACGGTAGTCCCGACCACCAGGGACACCGTCGGGAAGCCCCTCAGCGCCCTCGCTGCGGTGGTGCCCAGCACGGACGCCGCCAGCGACAGGGAACCTCTCGCCACCACGACTGAGGTCCTGACCACCAAGGACCCCGTCACATCCTTGCCCTCAGTGAAGCCCTACGCGTGGAAGCCGTAAAGTGCACACTTCGCTTCCTGCTCCACAGTCATGGCCGTCCACAAGCTACATACTCTCTTCAGCTCCTACACCTTGTGAAGTTCGTAGCACAGCCAGCGTGCTGCCTCCGGATACGTGTCGAGTGCATCGCGGTGAAATCGATACAGCCTTTTTTTTATTCTTATGAGCAGAAGGCACGAGACGCAGTCGACAGTGACAGAAAAGGTTCGGAGGTTTAGTTGCCAGACCAACAAATCATCTGGATTGCCCCTGCAAAGAACTCAGAAGTAATTTAGACTACCTCTAGAAAGAAATGCTTGCTTTTCCAGAGATTGCTTTCTTAGTTGCTGATTGAACCAGGGATATTGTTGTCATGGACATTGTTTCATTTTACAAATGCTTCAAAGCGTCTTGCCTTCTGCTCCATTTTATTATCTCTTTTATGGTACTTCATCAAAGTTAGGTGATTGTGTTATCTCAAGACAGTGCACATGTAGTTTGTTTTGAAAATTGCTTTATTTCTTAAAGAAAAACCTGTGACTTCATGAATAAAAGTGTGATAACATGGAATGTAATATTTCATTCTTGGAAGTAAAACTGAGCATCGACTGGAACCATGTAAGGAATTGGGCAATCTTAAGTATATATCACAGATATCTTGTTGAACACTCTGGTCTTATTTGAGCACAATAGTTAAATTTCGAAAGGAAAAAAAAATATATATATTCTCTGACTAGCATACCACCATATAAACACTGGACCACTTTGAAAGAATTATCACAGATGTTGCGCCAAACATTCTTATTTGAGCACAGCAATAGCAAGTTCTCGAAAGATAAAAAAATTGTTTCTGACTAAAGCAGCCGTCACTCGCGCGCTCCCCGTTGGTTCCGCCGACCCCTCAACTGCCCCCGGCACACCCGGCTCCTCGTGGTTCGACATTTTGGTTTGAAGAAGGCGCGTAGCGCACATCCCGCATAATATTGGAACAACTTTCTCTCCAATCAATTCTTAAATGTATTGCAAAAGGACACAAAAAAGCGGTTTGTTTTAAAAACGCCCAAAAAGTTTTGATTGTTTTTCAATACTTTTACCTGTACTAGAACAGATGCGACGGCCAGCGACGCACAGGATTGGTTGCCGTTCCTTCGCTAAACGCAGGAACTGCTCCCCGCGTCGTAGTAAATCCTACCCCGTATCCCGCGCGTAGGGACGCCTCAGGGAATGCGTAGCTACTTCCGCTCGTCGGTGGTTGGCTCCGGACGTCGCTGAAACGGGTGACGGGTGTCAAGTTTGCGATGACGTAGCGGCGTCAAAGTGGGCAGAGCCGCCACGTGAGTGTTGCTAGGATACGCTCCTCCTTTGCATTACGTCACTTCCATGTACCTTTTCTCAAATGTCCAACCTAGCGATCCTGCACTCAACTCGCAGTGTTTCCAGTGCGGTAAAATCGGACATTTTGCCGTCGTTTGTCGAAGCCGCGCGCCGCCGCCAGCCGCGGATGGTGAACGCCGGCGACCTGCACTTCCAAGTCGTGGCCGTGGACAGAACTCCGGACGCCCGCGGAGGCCTGGTCCGACCACTGCGTTCAACTATAACGTCACCATCGACGGGGATGCTCCCGTCCTGTCTTTGGAGTCACAAGACCGCAGCCTGTACGACGCCTTCATTGCTGACGTAAAGGTAAACGGCTCGCCTCTCCAGTTACTGATCGACACTGGTTCGCAGGTTTCAATTCTGAACGAAAAGATTTTCGAGACACTTAACAAGACTAAAAAGATCCGCTTACGCAAGCCTACGAGACGGCTTATGCATTATCTGCATCAACCGATTCCTGTGTTGGGATGTTTCACGGCTCAAGTCGTATTCAAAAACCGACAGACGCCACTAGATTTTTACGTCATTCATGGAGGACGTTCTCTACTTGGTATTGACGC